CTTTCCAAAGTAAAATGCATTAATCTTCAAAATAGCTACGATACTGAAAGTACCAGAGAGCTTTACCATATTGAATAAAATTTATTGAAATATTGGTAGGAAATTTAATCGGTCACATGGCGGTTAGGAATGAAAACCGGTGCAATACTTATGTACTATGAGTGATATTATTAAATAGTCAATAACAAATCAATAACTGCACAAACACACAGACATGAAGGTGAAGTAGAAACGAAGGATTTTGGCACAGTCGTCTGGATCTGAATTTCGTATCTATTTTTGTCTCCAAAGTAAACAGGATTTATCGAATAAATCCCTTGAAAGGCAAGATTCATAAATATTGAGTCTCCTAGGTCCTCGAAATGTTTTCTGGACAAGAGAGATCTATGAAAATTCTGATGTTAAAGTTGGGCCTGAATAAATTATGTTAAAGTAACAAAAAAATTAACTTTTTACTCGGATGTATAAAAGGCAGTCAATTACACCCATGTTTAGTTCAAGTTTGCCTTAGAATTCCCTTTGCAAGCCAATGATCTTTCAATGGCTAACAGCCTACAATTGCAAGCAGATTTACTGAAAAAAAAACAAAGATGAATGGGAGAACAAACGAGGAGGGACTAGGTGGGGGTGGGGGAGGGAGCCACTGAGGAACAATAAGGGAATCGACACATGTTGTACCCTTTGTTCGTTAATAGTCATCTGACAGAGCGGGGTTGCGAGATAGTAGGTGTGCAATACAATGGGAGATCAAAGAGACACAGGAGTCAGAGTTCACAGGTGCTTCGGCATTTTCAGTAATATTTGCGTCTAAAGTGATAGTTTTTCAATCTCACTGCTGAAGAATAAGCCCATTTGGGGTTTTGGATGCACAAAATATACGTTAGCGTATGCGCGCGTGTGGGGGGGGGTTGTACATGGCTAGAAAGCGCAAAATGTGTACCACTCAAAAATCTCGCAAAGTTCAAAAATTTAAGACGATGCATTTTCGAATCCTTTCAATCCGTCACATTTGTATTCACGTATTTTCATCCTTTTGCATACAACCATTAATCAAATGAATGCCTCCTAGCCTAGGCTCAGCCTATTCATCTGCGTTAAAATGTTCGCATTAGGAACAAGTTGGACAGACGGGCGTATTAGTGTCATTTTGTGAAAGAAAAGGAAAGTGCTTGTTGGAAATTTCAAAAGTTAACAGCCACATTTTTAATCTTAAGTTCTCCTTTAGCAAGAGAAATTTAAGTTCACTAAAATGGTAGAACATTATTATTATTTCAATTGAGAGTCTTTCTGATATTTATCATTAGTCCCTTAGTTGACTTCGGCTTTCGGGGGGGGGGGGGGGGGAACATATATAACAGTTCATTAGTTGTCTTCTGACTTCCCACTATCTCTGACTTACTGTTGTTGTCTTTTGGGCTGGACATCGAATCAAGTGGGACTTCTCCATCTCCTCCTGTGGGTCACATAAGGGGCATGTTGGTTGAGAGCATACTCCTAATCTGTAAGGGTGCTTCGCCAGGCAATCGTGTCCGGTATGAAGTCTAAACTCAGCAACGGCTTCGTTTCTAACATTATTGATACTTGTTTTCCGTTTCGTAGTTTTCTCCAAAACGCCCCTCAGTAGGCAGAACCATCTAATTAATTCGAATTAAACTCGAATTCTGTCCTTACCCTTTGTTAGCTAGACTTAACCGACTTCAATATTCTCAGGTGTTCGGTTTAATCAACGAGACACTGGTATAGATATTCAATTCAAAATTTATTTTCATAAATTGTAATTGATTGTTTGATATGCAAATTGATTAAGTTTAATTTCATAGGCCAAAGAGTTACTTTCTTGTGCAAGGAATTTCTCAGGGTAGTCAGCGAATCATTTCCTCTTAACTTACAACTGACTTGTTATTTCGCCCGTGATACCTTAGAAATCGCACAAAATACAGTTAAGTGAACTCACGACGAAAAATAAGTATTCAATGCCAATGATTTACCTTTTGGGTCGTTATTTCTAGTGCACTTTCCCCCCCCCCCCCATTTATCCAATCAATATGCAACACAACAATTAACCAACTAAAAATAAATAAATTACAGTATGATAGGAGTTCCAAGGTTGTCGCTATAAAGGAGTTATATCGGCTATTGCTTTAGGTGGAACTGAGTTTTAATATGGAAAGGGAGCACTTATGATCGGAAGACTTAAGAAGGCCTTAATATTGATTTTTTTTCCAAAACCAATTTGCAGATTCCATATTAGGGAATGTGCAAAATTACCTGAAATTTAAATGACAACTACCCTCCTCAAAATGATTGCTTTTGATAATAATGTTTAATTCTACCCAGTGTCAATAGTTATTAAGAGAAGGATAAATGTCAATCAACAATGAGCTGATGTCCATATTAGTCCAAATCACAACAATGATATGTTTGTCATAAATAAATGAAATGAGTAAATGAATAGAAATTGGGAGATAGGTTCAATAGAAAAAGCATCTGCTCTGATAATCAATAGCCAGTCTTTTATCATTTAAGCAGTTCGCAGTCTGAGTACAGGTCTCGTCTCCCTGGAAAGACCTCTTCGTGAAATATCCATAAATCATTACTCAAGGCTGAATTCTCTTCGAATGTTGAAAAAACGCTTTTCCTGCCTTGTATTGAGACGTTTTTTTCGATTAAATTGATTAGTTCCGGTAAGAATGTGCTGAAGATCTGGTAAATAAAATAGTGTCCACTGATTTGCTAGGTCTTCTTGTTTTCTCCTATCTCCATTATGATGAAACTGTCCATAATTGAAGATTTTCCACTTTTCCACTAATAGCTTGCTTGCTTTATTTATTTATTTAGTGTTCTCAAGCTTGGCCTGAAGAAAAATAATTTTTGTTGGAAGAATTAATGAAGGCGTAAACGGAAGCATTGAATATTCAGGCATTAAAAGCGTACTATTATTTGATTCAAGGGGTTAATGAATTGTATTGTGACCCAGAAGTCAATAAAACTTGTGGCAACTGGTTTGAAAAGTGTAAGGATGTTTTCATAGAACAATCTCGCTGTTAACCCAGATGATGAAAAATCAAGGCTGTCATTACATATGTTTAGGGTTTGACGAAGTTATGAAACATCATTTCGGCTAACTTCTTTCGTTGAGTTTTCTTCGAGAAAGTTCTCCAATTGATGTTAGTTGTCGACTCCACGGAATGCTTGAAAAGATTGATAAACAGGAATATGCGATATTATTGATGAAAGGATAAATCTGAACAGCAGGTGTAACAGTGGCATGAATCTAGAGAATTCTTATAAATTCTAGTGCAGCATTGGCTTGAGAATGATTTACACGTTTCATAATTTTTTCGCACAACTCTTGCAAATGCAATTTGTGTGACGAGAAAGGGTAAAATGTAATCATGTGCCGAAGTAAAGTAACAAGCAGAAAGTTAAACCAATACTCACCTAGGTGACAGAACCAATGGGCAGGTCCTCAGAAGAAACCTCGTGAATTGGTATAAAGAGGGAAAACGAAGGCAGCATCGTGGCCAAATTCCTTCAATTGCCACTGCATTGGATTCAGAATCAAAACTGAGTGTGGTGTAACATTTTAGACATTCGTAGCAAAATCTCCGGACTGAGAGAACGGAAAAGTCTGGTTCTTCAAACATGTTGAGGTATCTACGATGTAGTAGTTGAAAGCTATTCTCATTCACTTCTGGACAGTTGGTCATCCAGGACTTGATAGGAAACATCTAATGGAATTACTAAAAGACAGAGATATGGAAAAAATCCGCATTAGTCATTCACTTGCTCTCCTGAATTTGATATATATCGCCAAGGTAGAATACAGAACCAACTGAAGAATTACAGGCATATATGAAGGAGTTCAACAAAGAAGGCGGGTTTTAAAATGAGGGGACATGTAGGTGAAATTTAATTAAAATAACTTCAAACATTTACCTTTGAAAATGACACTATTAATTCACCTTTTCATAATTAACGAAAATATTAATTTGATTGAACTACGACATTCCTTATAGAGTTAGAATTGAAATTATGTAATACAGTAACAACGAGAATTGAGTGAACTGCTTTTTAGGCCTTAGATTAAAGTCAAAACACCAGCATTAGTCGCATTTGCCACACTTTCTAATCTAGAACAGATTTTACAATTACTCCGAACACAAAATGGAATTAACTACTGAACAGTTAAGACCCAGCCCCATCACAAATTAGCCAGATTAGAAGGGGCAAAATAAGTCTGCTTCTCTCAAACTAGCACGAAGTAAATATGAACGTTTAGACTTAAGTGCCATACAGATACCCCGATTGGGCAAATCATTTGGCGCGCCGGGGAAAATGCAGAAGCTTATCGATCGATTTCTACTCGTAAATATTGCAGCAATGAGATTTGTGAATGATTAGGGTACTTGTTACTTATACCAACTCACTTTTTAAGACCTGCGTGGGCGTTTTTTCAGACAAATAGAGAACGATACAAATTTCCATTGTATTATTCAATTTATCAGTATTAATTTGCCATGTCTGCCATTAGCTCAATTTCCATTATACGATAACTGCAAATACTTGTCAAAGTCGATCGACTGACTTTGAAAACTGTACCGCCAAGAAAATTTCATTTTACTTCAACTTAAAAAGGCCATAATTATTTAGCTATTTCGAAATCATTTTGCCCGCCAAAATGTCAACAACCAATGGAAATACAGAAGCCATTTGGTGTGTGCGAGTGATGGCAAATGTGTGTCCGTACCACCATTAACTATTTCCCATGTAGGAAGGTGATGACCAATGGGAGACAAACATTACCCTAAGGCAAACCAATCATCGCACGAGCTCTACGGCCTGGCCTTTTGGAAAACGCCGACTAGGCTAGTTAACTTGCTAACCAGGAGTCTGGCCAACTTTGCATCGCATCGCTGTAATCCCAACGCCTAATTCAGTTTACTTGGACTTATTTTACGCAGCTGCCTTTTTACTCTTACCCTCTCTATTAACCCAAAATGGGCTGCCTTCTTTCGAAAGAGGATAGAGAAGCGTTGGAGCAGAGTCGGAATATTGATAAAAAACTCAAAGAGGATGGTATGCAAGCTGCTAAGGACGTTAAATTGCTCTTACTGGGTATGTTTTCTGCATTAAAAAATCGATCAAGATACATTTTTGCAGTGACAAAAATAAGATCGCTATTTCTTGGTTAGCGTTACTATTGTTTGCGAATTTCAAATGATCTATTTGTACATAAAACGGTAGAATGTATTAATAGATACGCAATTTCCTTTTAAATTGAAGTTATATATATTTCAATAGATTTTAGAACTCTATTTTTTCTTTTTGAATCGCCTAGTAAAGCTCAATTTATCAGTTTATTTATTGTTTTGTAGCCATTTTTAGATTAACTCGTGGTTACCTGTTTTTACTGTACACATTGACTTTCTGTAGTTGCACAAGTTGAATTAAATAGAGAAATATGTCTCCTGTTATTTGTTTTCAGATGTGCTATTCATAGCTTAATCACGGAAAGGGGTGATTTCCCCCTCGTTCTGATTTAAATTGGTTTATTAGTATTATTATCATTTATGAAACTCCAAAACGTATTCCTCTTTTCTTGTTTCTGATAAATAGAAAGTGCTATTTTCGAAGGCTACCTTTTATGCAGTGGTTGCTGAATTATTAATGAAGCCTAACCTATTTGATCCCAAAGATGAGCTTTTTCATTTGAGTACCTGTGAGCTGGGGACTTGGGGGGGGGGGGGGGGTTAGAATGATGTCTAGTGCGAATTTGAGTAAAACAAGGAGTCTCTTATAATTAATTAAGCTTGCATAGTTTAGTACAAGTGTTTTATTCCCGGTGTATAAAAATAAACCTTTGCTAGTTTTATTCACAATTGAGTGATCAGAGCTTTAAATTGCCTTTTTTTCGTGCTCATCTTCGTCTTAATGCCCCTTTCATTATCCCACTATTGCGCTCAACTAACTAAAGGTTTGGGGGGGGGGGGCGTTGGTTTGTCATTCCCCTCTCTCTCTTGAATCTGCTATCGTTGGTCAGAACTTGTTTGTATTGAATTAGCCCAATTACGAGTGGCCTTTACGGCAGCACTGCACCTGAAATTTTCCTTTTGGATGCAGGGATATTAATATACTGTGCAGTTTGCTAATAAATCACTCGACAACATCGCGTACAAATGGATTATTGATTTTATAAATTTTGATTGATAATGTTAAAGCTCGCTGCTTAATTTGCAATTTATAGCGCTAGTCGACAGACGGGAAGAGAATTAAGGGTGTGCAACGATTGTGGGTTATTTTGATCAGATTGAAGCTGGCTTGGTCTTCTGTTTTGTGTCCCATTAGTTATTTGGCCAATGTCAGCAATTTTCAACATGTCATCGCGTTGGACACGTCATGGCAGACTGTATTAATACCTTATATTTGAATGCCACTGACCCACATGACTGTCGCGCGGGTAAGGGAGTTGGCATTTCAGATACAGTAGCATAGAGAAATAGTGGAATAAGAATTCCACTTTTAAAAAATGTCTCTTTCTTCAATGGGCCTGAAAGCTATTCGTTACAATGATTAATTTTGTCTTCTTTTAGGTGCTGGCGAATCCGGAAAGAGTACAATTGTCAAGCAAATGAGGTAATTTAAAATCATTTATCTTAATCACTACCACCTTCCTCCCTTAGAATTATCCACGAAGGTGGTTTCACACAAGAAGACAACAAGCAATTCAAGCCAGTTGTCTACAGCAATACCATTCAATCGATTGCAGCCATTCTACGGGCCATGAATACTTTGGGGATTCCCTATGCAAACCCCAAGCAATGCGTAAGTTAGCTACGATCTTATTCATAGGGATTATGTTCGTTTAATGGTGCATTTGAGACTGCCCTACTTAAGTGTAAGTTACAAGGTTTTAGTGGTTGAAGTGTTTTAAACTTGTCGAATAACGTTGCTGGCACCTCTCTTTGATCGGCTTAGTTACAATCGACTGGGATTTTCCCCCAAGATTTCTTGAATTAAAAAAAACACACTAGAGAGCGAGGTTTGACGTCACTTTTTAAGCCTTTTGACTGACATTTTTGCCTTCCCATAAAGGTACATCGCTCTTTGCTTGAACCCGGAAGAAGCAATGCGCAATGTTTTGCAACGCCCGATGGATTTTGGTCTATAATAAGAAATTAACATTTTGCTTTTTTTGGTTTACGGGATTAATTGTCTCCAGTACTTTATTTTCCCCTTCATTTAGTAACTCATTTGTTCAAAATTTCTCTACTTTTAGTCATAGACTTGGATTCGGTGTATCTTTTGAATACCAGAAGTCAGGCTCCTTTATTTGTTTGACCTACGTAGGGTGAATGAAATAATGGTTTAACCACTTATTTTTTATGTTCCCCTACGTCTCTATATATTCGAGATAAGTATCGGGGAAGTACTTCCTTTAAGCGGGATTGAAATTCCTAGGACTTGGCTGAAATTGACACATTACTTTAGAACCTAATATTTGAGTAATGCTAATCAATGAAATTCGGAGACAATTCTTTGGCCATTTGTCAGAAATTTGGTAGCAGCTATTTTTTTTGCTTTATTCCAGTTTACCTTTCAGGTTCTTGTGATTAATAAATATCTGCCATATATGTATATATACTCCTTTGTCTTTAATATATAATTTCCTGATTAAGATAATAATCATGGGACTTTATTAATGATATTTTTTAAGAGTAGGATTACTTTGCTCCTGATAGGCACTTAAGTATTGGTGCAATTATTACTACCTTGTAATACCTCCCCCTCCACCCCCCCTCCCCTCCCCTTCGTTGCTGGGTAAACTAATGCTTATGGGAAATATTCTCTCCTACTTTGGGCGGAAACAAAATGGCACTCGTGGCTATGAGACTCCCAGCGCATTTTATCCTCCTCCTCCTCCAGTTGTGTTTGGCCTCCCATCCACGCCGCCCATACTTTTACTTTCTTAATCCATTGCCGCTTCCAACTCACGTTCGCCTTTTGTCGTGTCGCCTGCTTTACAACTTCCTTTGTGTTTGACTTACTTTTCCCTAATCGATTAATTGTGCTTATCGGGCATAGATAGATAGAAAGAGGGAGATCAAGAAAAAAAATATATGCACTAATTTATTCCTTTTAATTTCATGCAGATGGTACATAATCGATAATTAAGTGTCGGTAAGATATGTGCTAGGTTTTTCCTCTTTTGCTGTTGTTTTTGTTGTTGATAGGAGAGATTACTTGTCATTTACGCGCGTGACAATTGGCAATTATAAGTAACTTTGAAAAATTTCCTGGACAATCAAAACTCTGTAAAACGCTTAATTCATAATCTATAATGTCCTAGTCGCTTCGATTGTGTGCGTGTCCGATATGTACACATGCTGTTCGAGAATTTGATTAAAATGGGCTCCACAACTTCTAATTGAAGGAATGGAATAGGCTTTTGGGATGTAATGTGTATCAATGTTGCCCTCAACAGAAGGAATGGGGTATGACAATTGGCAAAATTTTAGCTTTCATTCTTGTAGGATGGCTATTAACTGAAAGCCGCCTCATTCTCTACTACGTAGTTTACAAACCCGTTGGTAACACTCGTAAATTTGGAGATGCTTTCAGGCCTTTTATGTCGACAGACCCACAATTTAGTATATCTTAGGCTTAGCGATAATAAATATCAGCTGTTCTCAGCATATCGGTGTGTCACGGAGCGGTGCAATTTCATTTTATTTGAATAGTCTTATGTTCCTACTTTCAACTCAATTAAACTGTGAGGTCGTGTATGTCTATATTCATCCATTCTTCATTTCTGTCTGAGCTTCGACTGGATTTTTCAATATCAATTCTGGCAAGTTATTGTCATTTAGTTATTTTTGCAATTTTAATAGTTTCGCCAACCTATACCATAGTATTCTTGAGTGTGGGTACTATTTCTTCCTCCCCCTCTGCTATAAAGGGTCTTTTCTGTCGCTCTTTTTTATGTGGGTGACGTTGAATGGGGTGACATTGTTTGCCTTTACCAAGTGCACTATGATGACCCATATTAAGTTATGTTCCAATAGGAGTTTAACCGCTACTTTCAAAGTTTCTTCTTCCATTTAAACACCGTTCCCGACGCTTTTATTTTGAAGCTGAATTTATGGGCCACAGTCGGTTCAATTTTCTAGTAAATCCACTTTAGCACGAGTGTTCTACGCAAATATTTAGTTCCTTAAGAGGTGGTATGAAAGGGGACTGTATTTTGTCCAATTACGGATACAAGTTGAAGTAACGGTATTTATTCCTTATTATTGGTTATGTGAAAAATAAGTAAATGTGTGGACTAATTGTGAACTCTCACATGGGGTTAATGGTTGTGGAATGGACCAGAACCATTGTTAGCGTATTTTGTATGTTATTTTAGCCAATAGCGGGTATGGGCAAATGTCCTTGTACATGATGAGTTAGCGAGTGGGGTTTATACCATTATTTATCATCATTGCTGTGAAGTCTTAGAATGGGATTTTGAATCTGGAAGTATGGTTGGAATTTCCCCCAAATATGTACCTCCTGTTCTCCATTTTATTTTTTGTGCCTGCTCCATTTTTTACCTGCGGTGTGGTGATTCATACCTTTCGGGAAGAGAGGGCATGCTTTTGGGCCTCTCAGCCTATCATGTTTTCACACACCTCGAATTTGTACTAAATTTGTAATTAGAACTGATCAGGTATTGGGTTCAAACGAGATTACCCAAAGATGTAATTTAAAAGGCGCCTATTTCTTCTATCCTTGGCAGTTGAAAAAGGGATTTTCAGTAGGTTGAATCACCGTCGTCCTATTTCTGCAACGATGGGGCTTTTTCTGTTCAGACTTGGTTTTTACAAACCTGCCCAAGGCCTATTTTTGCTCGCATATGCATGCGTATCCTTGCTCGCATTCCTGCTGAATGTGATTTATTTTTGCTAGACAAAGGGCCTACGAGGTTATTTTTCTCCAAAGCTTGAATTGGCTAATTTTGAATTTATCCAATAAGTTTGCGCATTTCAAGATGTCAGTGTTGGGGGGGGGGGGGATAAAGGAGGTATTTTGTCCAAAAAAATGAAATTAAAGTGACATGTAGAGCTTTTCTTATTGGTGTGTACTCGATTGGTAATCATTTTTGCGGCTTAAAAGTGCTAAGTTGGTTATTTTCGATCAATTTTTTAATTGGGAGCTCAGTTGAAAGGCATGTGATTGTCGTCTGCTTAATAGCAATAAGTTAATTTAAGCATCGCATTGGGAGTAGGAACTGAACAAGAGGTTACAAGGCCCTCAGATTCCAGTCTATTGGGGGGAAAAGAGAGATCTTGCATGCTATAATTATCTTTCCTGTATTTCTCCTTGTTTTCCGCCTTTTGAATGTCACGACCATGGAAACGTCTCTTCAATTTGTGTAACTAGCCTGACCTTGAAATAATGAATTGCAAGCCCACAGCCCGCAGTGTAAAATGGAAGATTGATTTCATGACCAGTTTGTCTTTCTAAGCTATGGGATTTAAATATAATCATTAGTAGTTATCTCCGCCCTGAATTAAGTCAATTTTCCTTATATCGATAGCTTTAATCATCGATAGATGCTACTAGTCTTTGTTTATATGTATTTATCATTAGAACCATACTATTTTTGTAAGGTTTATAGTGCAATCCTTGCCACCTCTTCCACTTGTCTTGGCGTTGAGAGTGATGGACCGTGTGTAGTCATTCTGGGGTCATATAGTATTTGGCGCCTACATCCCGTAAAGTGCATGACGATGGCATACCTCGCTCCAATTCCTTTTAGCAATAAAAAACGTCTAAAATTCGAATCAGCTGTCCTATTAATTGGCATAGATTTATTTGATTTCTACCTTATTGATCCCTTTAGGATACCAACCAGCGTTCTTTAAAGATTGACTGCAGTCGATTCTACATAGCGTTTCTTTGCACAGTTGTCGATATTCGGGTGAATTATCTTTTGATCTCTATTTGGTGGAGTTTTTGTGAACCATTCTCCTTTAAACTAATCACATTGAAAACCGTGTTTACATAATCTAATCTTTAATTTTCCGAAGCTATTTAAGGTCAGCCATTAAAACTGCATCATTGGTTAAGTGGGGACTTCCCTTAGAGATTTTCATTAGAAGTACATTTCCCTTTTTTGCTTGAAGCTGAAGTATTACTATTTAGAATTGTGTTCCGTAACTGTAAAAATGATAGATAATCTTGACTGCTGGGCTACAAATGGATGGATGAGCACTTTTTTAATCCTAGAACTTCTGGGATATGTACTTTTAGCCTTAACCCTTTAACGCTCTTAGGACCATACTGCCCTTTTCCAAAATAAGCTCCATTAGTACTATAATCGTAATTGGTGGTTCTATTGTTCTTTGAAACATGTTCAATATTTCTATAGCCTTTTCCTGACACTACCAATACACATCAGTCTCCTTCTACGAGGCACGCGTGAATGCTATCGGGGGGCATTATTCAATAAAATAATTTTGGCCCTAAAATGCCAATAGTGTCTTAACTACCAAGCTATTGTTAGCACATTTAATTATGATTATTACCAATAAAACGGGCGAAATTGCAGTTGCTATTCCGAATATCTATCCCATCTGGATGTCATTAAAATTGTGTGCACGAGACTTTAGCAGTCACCAAAACTCCAGGAGGGTACTAGTTGGTTCCTTTTTTGATTATTTAAACGCAATTTATGGCATTCCTGCCTGATACAACTTTTGCCCGTGAAGGTTGGAGTTTGTTCTTGAATCATTTCCCCCCTAAATCAACCCCAATTTTAGTAATTGTCCCGAGTTAGTTAAAGACGGTCGGCATCACTAGTTAAGCGGTTTTATTTTCTAGACCATTTAACTCTCCAGCAAAAGGCTTGCAAAAGTTAGTATACTGAATGAATTATTAATTACTTAGAAAGCGTTCCCTTTTTATCTTGCTTACCAAAACATAAAGTTTAGAGAGAAAATTTTACTAATATTCAAGGCTATGAGGGGTGAAATGGGGGGACGGTAACTTTACAATGGGGAAATGATTAATACATGCCTTGGAGAGTTAGGAGGGAGGGGTTGGGAGGGGGAGGGACTATGCTGCAACAACATACCTCATATTTGTCTCACTAATATTCTCACCCCATTGGAATCTAACTCTCTTCATAGACTATTTGGCTTTACTGATAGTACCACCTAAACCGCATTTTATGCCTGTGTTTACGTTTAGATCGCCACGAATCGCTAATGCATAATTCGTTTAAAAGTACATTTTCCTCCCCATGAACTCGTGCGCGCGCGTTCTCTCTACCTCTCTCCCAAAATATGACCTTTTTTGCAATTACTGTTACTCTGTTTTTTTTATTGCATATAATTTCCAATGGTACAGTTTGGATGAGAAATTTATAGTAACGCCTAGACCCTGTCACCAATGATACTTTAAGAGACAGTTTAAATTAGGTTTAATGTCTCCTCACATGACTAATGGCATTCCCAAAGGTTAACAAACAAAAAACATCCTTTCCCAACGTCGAGAAAGATGGAGGAGGGGTGGTTAAAAGGAGGTATTTGGGATTGCAAGACAAGCGCTGATGAAGTGGAACACAGGTCGTGATGATCGGCGTTGAAGGCGCTTTCCACTTTGCGTTCCTTATTTTCATTAGTTGAGTAAAAATTATCGTTTTCCCATTTGATTGGTGCAGAATTATGAGCTAACTTAGTGCAATGCTACCATTTCAAGGCCCATATAACCCCCCCCCTTTTCCTACGGAATCGATCTCACACCCGATTCAAGAAACCCTATAAAGTTTACTCTGAGCTTCTTGGGTCTCTTTTCCAGCTTACCTAAATGCTGGCATTCTAGTTTGAAAAAATGAATGATTTTATTAAAAAGTGATGTATCTTAACAACACATACAAATGCGAAACTGTAGTTGTTGGTTCTCTTAAATAGACTAGATCTGGAAATTAGAAACTGTATTTCCTCTTTGTATTCTCTATACCATTTTTAACCCTACTACCTAGTTTCCTTTCATTTTTGCCGTTGATAAGTCATTTACAACTATTGAAAGATGAGGACCGTGAAATGTATCTTTTTTTGAAATTATGTTTTCAAAAGGTTACTTATTTAGTAATTTCTTGTATCGCCTTCCATTAGAACGAGGACGCAAGGGTTGTCAACGAGGTGATCCAATCAATGCACGACACAGAGCCCTTCTCCGATGAATTGTTACAGGCCATGAAACGTCTCTGGGCCGATCCTGGTGTCCAACAGTGCTTCCAACGATCCAATGAATACCAACTCAACGATTCCGCCAAATAGTAAGTTTTCCTTATCTATATATTATCAGATAAGTCTGCTAGTGCTTTGATACTCCTCGGCATGTTGAAAGGACATGATGATTTGGATCCGACTTAATCTTATTATTCTCGATAAAATAAAAAAGTTCAAGACAGAAAGAAGTATTAGTGAGTAGAAAAGGCGTGTTCATTTAGTAATTAACCTTTGTGGGGAAAAATTCACGTGCGTTTGAGTGGTGGGGATACAAAAGCATTTTAAAGACGTTTTAAGCCACAAATACGCGGTTCATCGCTAAAATAAAGTAGTCATAATTATCGGAGTAGGGGGGGGGGGGAGATGCGTATCGAGTACCCCGCTAATGGGCAACTAACTCCTCCAATTTATAAAAACCATTAAAAAAATGCCGAGATAAATGGAGCCTCAGAAAATGTGTTAAGTGCAGCCTTGTTCTTACTTCTGACTTAACTACGCCTTGCGATTCTCAGTGTTCACTTAGATATTATGCCTTTGGCGGCACAGGTTCAATTTGATGGGGGATAATTTTTGTATCCGTTGTATTTCTTCTCGCATATAAATCCAATTGATTTCATTGATCTCTCTGTGTGCCAATTTGCGCCTACTGAAAACGAAGGAAGGCAATTTAGTAAGCAAACCTTATGAAAGGGTATTGCAGTTCCTTTCCGTAAATATTCCAGTACCAGAGGCAAACGGAAGGTTCTCGTGGGCGGTTTTATTAAAACCTCTGTTTAATAGTGGAAAGGTCAAGGAAGGAGGAGCAGAAGGAGACCATCTTAGCTGTGAATATGCTAAAACCCTGTGTCTTTAGCGAAGACACAGTATCTTTTTTGATCGCCTATGTCAGTGTTAACGATTTTGCAATTTTGAATCACGCTAGGGCATTTCATGATGGAGAATGGCTAAGTATTCCAACCAGGGTGCCAAGAAGGCCGTCAAATGTCTTATTTGAACTGATATGCACTTGTAAGGGATGTCGTTTACTTTATAATGCTAAGGTTTTATGAAATGACTCCCACGGTATTCAGCGCTTGTTTACCGGCTAATTTATTTGGTAATAGGTGGTACTAATAATGGTGGTTGTTCCTTTTCATGTTTGCATGCAATAGACTTCTCGAATTGTCGTAAACATAGCTTTAACTCTGGTTCCTAGGGCGAGGAGTGTGGTTCGAGAAATTTGTGATCTCTCCGTAGCCTATTGTTTATTAATTAACTTGCATTCGGAGTCGTGTTTATCTTTCCCTCGTTATTTTCCAGGCATTTGTCTGTCGGCAGATTGAAGGTTTTGCCTATCTTTAATCGCTAGGGAAATCGAATGTACTTTGTCTAAATGGTGGGGATTTCGCATATTCTTTTCCCTCACTCTCAAGCAATTTTATGCGGCATGTTTGGCCCTGCACTCATGACCTTTGACTTTGCAAATATGCACTTTGGCAGTTAGGTCACTGCGCTGTGTGTTTACGGGTGCAAAATTTTTCTGCATTCAAGCGTCGATCTTCATAATAAGTAGAGGTATTATTTGTTACGGATTTTGTTGACCTATTCTGTCCCTTTTTCTCCTTAGTTTCTTGGAAGACCTGGATCGTTTGGGAGCAAAGGACTACCAGCCGTCTGAGCAGGACATTCTTCGGACTCGTGTCAAGACCACTGGTATTGTTGAAGTGCACTTCCAGTTCAAGAACATGAATTTCAAGTAAGGCTATTTTCTCCTCTTCATATCCTACCTATTTGAGATTGTACCCTGTTCTCAAAATTCTAAATAAAAGATAATTTTGTAATCCTCTCCCTCCCCCCCCCTCTCCCCCCTCCCCCCACTCATTGCTTTAAATAATAAGCATCGATACGATTCTACACTCATCGGCAAATGAACCACAAATAAGTGACGGTGTAATTAACTATGAACTTAATTAGAGCTAAATATAGCTAACAACATACAGATATTCGTGTAAGTCATTTTACAACGTGTGTATCTTATAAATAATTTAAATTCGAAACTGTGGCGCAGTGGCCATCCAAGTAGATCCCAGGGGTTAGGGTAATCCAATTTTGTGCGATGTAGGGCTTTTTTATTAGATTTGTTGGTTGGCGGAAGCGTTCGCCAAAAAAGTGATCTCAGATTATCCAAATATAGCTCTCCTGCAAGAATCCTGTCAGTTAAAATTAGAATCCCACTTATCTCTCATCTAAACGTTTACCTCAACCGCAAAATCTCGCATTTATTGACATTAGCAGGAGGGTGAATTTATTTTTGATTGTTTTTATTATTATTATTACCAAGATCAAAGTCAGATTTTTGTGGTAATCAGTTTGGGGATGTGTACGGGTCAAGCACTAATATTGCCCAATTTCATGATTTCCAAGGCTCTTTGACGTGGGTGGTCAGCGCTCGGAGCGAAAGAAGTGGATTCACTGTTTCGAGGATGTGACAGCGATCATTTTCTGCGTCGCCATGAGTGAATATGACCAGGTACTTCACGAGGATGAGACCACCAATCGAATGCAGGAGTCCCTCAAACTCTTCGATTCCATTTGCAATAACAAGTGGTTCACCGACACCAGCATCATTCTCTTCCTCAACAAGAAGGATCTCTTTGCTGAGAAAATCAAACGCTCGCCTCTCACTGTCTGCTTCCCAGAGTATCCTGGTGAGTT